CGGTCCCTGTGCTTTGCTTAGCTTAGCTTGTTCTAAGTAGGTGCTTTAGACCACTGAGCCATCTCACCAGCCCCATCTCAGGCTTTTATTAGCCCCTTATAGAACTTCAACAAACAATGTTTACTCTGCCACCTAGTTAGCTAGATTTCTTTCTGGAGACAGAGCTGTGCTTGTATGGGCCGGTGAGAGCTGAGAGGCCATGCCCGTGGCAACTCTGGCAGATACCCAAAGATTCCTCAGTGAAAGATGAGTCCCCACAGCCCAACTGGGTATCCAGAAAAAAATCTCCACTTAGCTATTGTCCCTACCTGCACTCTTTCAGTGACCTGCTATCCCCTGTCCCAGAGTGACCAGAGATGCTGCTGTTGGAGCCCTTTCTTCACTAAGGGTTGAGCTACAGGTCTGCACTTTTCTCTCTGCCAGTAAGTTAGAAGCCTCAGTTTTTCTCCAACTCGCCAGTGTAACTAAAACTTCTCCATTAGAGACTGCCCTTCCTTCCAGAGGGTTGAGTTGAGACAGCTTGCAACAACAGTTTCCCTTTAACCCAGAAGAGCATAATTCGGAAAGCATAATTCCAGATAGCTGAACATGTGGAGGTCCCTGGAGGGTGATGCTGGAGAAGGCATGGGAGCTCCATGGCCTCCCATAACCTTGCGCTGTGCATCTTCCCATCTATGCCCTTTGTAATTTCCTCCAATATATACCAGAAAACGCATTTTCCTTCATTTCATGAGCAGCTCAGTTACATTAATGAAACCTAAAGGAAGATTATTGGAACCCCAATTTGCAGCCTGCTGTTCAGACACACTAGGAAAACAGCCCTGGACTTGTGGGGGGGGGGTCTGTGCCCTCAACCCGCGATCTGATGTTATCTCCAAAGGACACAGTCAGAATACAATTGGAGGCAAGGACCTCAGCTCGTGTCTGCTGCATAAGTGCCTGCCTGCCTGCCTGCCTGCCTGCTTGCAAGAAGAAATCTCCCATGCCTTCTTTTTTTTGGCAGAATCAGGGATTGAACTCAGGTCCTTTTGCTTGCCAGGGAAGCACTTACTCCATTGAGCCATCTTCCCAGCCCCAAAATGGAATAAGGCTTTTTTTTTTTTTTTGCTCCGAATGCCTTCAGGACAGGTTTGGCTGGCTTGAGTTGTAGGGAT